ATATAAAACCTAAACATCTTGAAGCGTGATGGTGGCCTCTCCAGTGGACAAGTGAATAGTGTGCGTCTCCGGTCGCCACCGCTCTATCAACGCCATGATGAGAGACCTGTCGAGCTGCAACCGCCCAATCTCAAAAATCCTAAGGAATCCTGTAGCACGCAAGCGATGGACTACACGGGGATGGAAATCTCTCTACCTCAAAAAGTCCCACAAGTTGTTCGGTATCCTGGTGCGGAGAGTCTGATCTAATAGATGTCCCTCCGATACGTAAGAGGACCTATGGTCGCCCTGTAACACTAATATCATATCCGAGGGTGGTCCAAGATGCACAAGCGGCAAGTCCATGTCCATATTAAATGTGTGTTTGTGTTATAATAATTAATTTTTATTATTTAATAGGATAGAGTATATAACTATGGGTTCTAGGCTCGATATTTGAGGCCCAGTGGCACCAACCTATCCTGAATTCTTATGTGTGTCAATTTCAATTTTTTTACAATTTTTTTTGTGTTATAATAATTAAATAATTAATTATTTAATTGGACAGAGTAAATATCTATGGGTTCCAGGCTTGATATTTGAGGCCCAGTAGCACCAAGCTATCCTGAATTCTTATGTATGTCAATTCCAATTTTTTTAGAATTTTGTTTGTGTTATAATAATTAATATTTAATTATTTTATTAGACAGAGTAAATATCTATGAGTTCCAGGCTCGATATTTGAGGTTCAGTAGCACCAAGCTATCCTGAATTCTTATGTGTGCCACTTTCAATATTTTTAAAATTTTGTTAGTTTAATAAATTAAATAATTAATTTTTAATTGGACAGAGTATATAATTATGGTGTCACGACCCAATTAAGGATTGTGACCAGCTCTTAGGACAAGTGCTCCCAAGTAAGCCTCATCGGTAATTTTACAGAAAATCGTACAGAGTTTCCCCTATTTTTGGACCATCCCAAAACTTTTCCTGTCTCAAATCAACAACCAAACTTCCTAATATCATACCAAACAATTGGCAACTGGTCAATTAACCAATATAAGTCTCCACCATAACTAAACCACCAACTAACTACTAGAAATACTAATTTATCTCTAACATTTGATAAATGAGAACGATACTCAATAGAAGACTATAATAACAAAAGAAGACTCATGACACTAAAATAATGACTATGGAGTGACTCTAAGAGTTCAAAAAAAAAATATAACAATAAATAAAATCTCCGCCCACGCTAACAAATGCGAGACTCATCAAAAACTATCAACCTGTGCGCCCTAATTAACGAAATCCTCGCCCGCGTTAACTGCTGTCTCTGTAAAAAAATTAGCGGAGAATGAATCGCTAGCTCAGTGAGTAATAACACTTAACCACAACCGTTTTTATTGGGGACAAGTCAGAAAACATGCTAGTATATCAAACAGAAAAGAACATAAAAATGCCCTTTCAGAAACAATAAATAATTTTCAGTCTCGTCATGCTTTTCTTGTAGTATAATACAATAAACAGTTCGGCAATAAACTCGGTAACCATTATCTAATATCAGTATTCACATTTGGGAGGTTTCAATGAACGCATCATGTAATCGGTATAACTGTGGACTTCTTCGCAAGAAGTCAAATACAACGGTAGTCCCTACTCAAGGGAAATCGGTAACGGTATGCTAGTTCTACCTTCCCACTAGCGAGGGCTATAACAGTAATCTGTAATTACAAGGTGCACCAGGTCTAACGAACCAGCCATTAGCTACGGGATCCTTCAATGTCTACTCCCATTTATACTTGTCTATGTAATCCGTATATACTCATAGAAAATATTTTAAAACAATATAGGGCATTTTGGTTCTTATCAAATCATATAATTTCTTCTCGATAATAGTAAATTCAAGTAACGGTAACAGATCTAGTGACAACGAAAATATTTAAAACAACGGTAATCTTCTCAAATAGCTATTTCGTATCATATCGAGTAAAAGACTTGTCCCACATGCAACTTAAAATAATCGGTAACATATTCATATTAAAAATCATGTGTAAATCATGCAAGTTATGAAAACACAAATTGCGGTAAGATTATTACTCACAATACTCTTGCCGAAATACCAGATGCTTCACCTCGAGCAATTCATAAAAATTCCTCCAATCAATCAATAATTACATAATATCAATCTCACGTTAATTTCCTTATTTAGGCTAATTCATAGCTAATTTAGAATACCCGACCCTCGAGGTTTCATATTTGACTCTTAATTCGCCGAATTATATTTACCCACCTATGAGTAATTACTAATTTATGAACTCCAACATATTCAAATATTTTATTAATCCAATTTCATAAAGTTCTATTGATTCTTTAGGAAGAAAATTCTCAAGTGTGAATGAACTAGTGTAATTTCAATTTCTCTGTAGAATCTGCCAATCATGAGAATCGAAATTAAGATCTACCAGAAGAAGAAGCTCAAGCTATACTCGTAAGACACAATACGTGCTTAAGATTCCTCAACAAATTGCCAAAGATTAACAAAAATTTATACATATCTTTCCTTGTTTTACTGACTTTTGCCAATCTCCTTATTTAACTCTAACCATTAAAATATATTCTCAAATTTGTGGAATACAATACCTGAAGATTTGAACAGATAATGGATGGAAGTGACTTCTTTTGCATTACCAAGCTTTTTCCCCAACTCACCTTCTGTATTTTTTTTTGATTTTCGCTTTAATTCTGACCCGTTAAAATCCTTTTTGCTTCTGCTTGGTTTTACGCAACAGAATTTGATTCTATTGCCAGAGAAAGGGGGCTTCAGCCCTTTTTCCTTTTTTGTTTATGTTAGTTAGCGTAGGGGTTTGCCCTATTTAATCTTATTTATAATTTAATTTTTTGGTAAATTATGTAATTACCCTCTTTCTTTTAATGAGTGTTACATTCTCCCCACCTTATGAAATTTGGTCTCCGAATTTAGCTCAAGTACGTACCTGTAAACTGAAATAAATGAGGATACTTGACTCACATAACATCTTCTATTTTCCATGTAGCTTCTTTCACAGTATGATTTCTCCGTAAGACTTTAACAATCACAATTTCTTTTGATCGCAGCTTTCTTACTTGCCTATCAACAATAGCCATCGGCTCCTCCTCGTAGGAAAACTTCTCATCGAGCGGCATAGTCGGTGCTTCAATCACCTGAGATGAGTCTGATATACATTTTCTTAGCATTGAGACATGACACACTGGGTGAATAAAGGACAACTTAGGAGGAAGCGCCAAATGATAAGCCACCGCTCCCACTCGATCTAGTATCTCATACGGTCCTATAAACCTGGGGCTCAACTTGCCTCTTTTCCCAAACCGTGTTATACCTTTCATTGGGGAGACTCGTAGGAACACTTTGTCTCCAATTGTGAACACTAAATCTCTTCTTCTCTTATCAGTATAAGACTTTTGTCTGCTTTGTGCTGCAAGCAATCTCTGTCTGATCAACTGGACCTTGTCCATAGATTCTTGTATTAGGTCGGGTCCCAATAAGTTAGTCTCACCAGCTTCAAACTATCCGATAGGAGAACGACATCTTCTACCATACAATGCTTCTTATGGTTCCATTTGAATACTGGACTGGAAGCTATTGTTGTAAGCAAATTCAGCTAACGGTAGATAAGTGTCCCGACTACCTCTAAACGCAAGAATACAAGCTCTCAACATATCTTCGAAGATCTGCATAGTACGTTCAGACTGCCCGTCTATCTGTGGATGAAATGCAGTGCTAAGATATACTCGTGTACCTAATGCTTCTTGAAAAGATTTCCAAAAGTGTGAAGTGAACTGTGATCCTCTATTAGAGATGATAGATACTGGAACTCCGTGAAGTCGGACAATTTCATTCATAAATATCTGTGCATGCCTCACTCCTCCATATGTAGTCTTTACTGGCAAAAAATGTGCTGATTTTGTTAGTCGATCTACAATTACCCACACCAAATCATAACCTCTAAAGGTTTGTGGTAAACCGGTGACAAAATCCATAGTAGTTCTTTTCCATTTCCACTCTGGAATCTCAATTTGTTGTAGTAGTCCTGCGGGTCGCTGATGCTCAGCCTTGACCTGCTAACAAGTCAAACAACTAGAAACAAAGTTAGCAACATATTTCTTCATACCTTCCCATCAATAAAATTGCTTTATGTCATGGTACATTTTTGTGGATCCAGGATGTATAGTGTATTTAGTGTTGTGAGCTTCTTTAAGAATAGCATGTCTCAACCCATCTACGTCTGCTACACATAGCCTATCGCCCATTCGAAGAACACCATCACTTCCAACAATCATATCCTTGCTTTTACTAGCTAATGCCTCATCTCTGTATTTGCATAACGTTCATCCTCATATTGGGTGGCCTTAATGCACTCAACTAATGAAGACTTAGCCTGAGCACAAGCCAACGATGCCTCTGAATTTTCGACACAAAATCTGATACCTGTATCTTCTAGTCTCTGAATATCTTTGGCCAAAAGTCTCTTTGCAGGGGCTATATGTGCCAAACTCTCCATAGATTTTCTACTCAATGCATCAACCACCACATTGGCTTTTCCAGGATGATACAAAATAGAACAATCATAGTCTTTGAGTAGTTCCATCCAACGACGCTGTCGAAGATTTAGATCTCTCTGTTGAAAGATATACTTCAGACTTTTATGGTCAGTATAAATCTCACAAGTTTCGCTGTATAGATAATGTCTCCAAATTTTTAGAGCAAATACCACTGCAGCCATCTCCAAATCATGTGTAGGATAGTTTTGCTCGTGCTTTTTCAATTGTCTCGAAGCATAAGCTATAACATGACCATTTTGCATGAGAACACATCCTAATACCACCCTCGAGGCATCACAGAATACAATAAATCCCCCAAAACCTAATGGTAAAGCTAATATTGGTGCAGTTGTCAAACATGTTTTGAGTTTTTGAAAGCTCTGCTCACATTTATCCGTCCACTGAAACTTTGAATTTTTCTATGTTAGCTTGGTCAATGGCGCTGCTATTCTGGAGAAATCCTGCACAAAATGCCTGTAATTGCCTGCTAAGCGTAAAAAGCTGTGAATCTCTGTAGGAGAAGTAGGCCTGGGCCATTTCTCCACAGCTTTTGTCTTCTTAGAATCTACCATAATTCCATCTTTGGAAACAACATGCCCCAAAAATGATACCGAGGCTAGCCAAAATTTGCACTTCGAGAACTTAGCATAAAGCCGTTGTTCTCGCAATGTCTGCAACACAGTCCTGAGATGATCCTCGTGTTCTACTTGGCTACGAGAATATATCAGGATATCATCAATAAATACTATTACAAATCTATCCAGAAATGGCTTGAACACCCTATTCATTAAATCCATGAATGCAGCTGGAGCATTTGTTAGTCCGAAAGGCATCACAAGAAACTTATAGTGCCTGCATCGAGTTCTGAAAGCAGTCTTAGAAATATCTTCATCTTTGATTCTAAGTTGATGATAACCAGAACGGATGTCAATTTTTGACAAGTGGGCAGCTCCTTGTAACTGATCAGACATGTCATCTATATGAGGCAAAGGATATTTATTGCGTATTGTTATCTTGTTCAACTGCATGTAGTCAATGCACATTCTCAAAGATCCGTGTTTCTTCTTTACGAACAGTATTGATGCACCCTATGGTGATACACTAGGTCTAATAAAACCCTTATCTATCAAATCCTGTAACTGTTGCTTTATCTCTCTCAACTCTGCTGGTGCCATTCGATATGGGGGAATCGATATGGGTTGTGTGTCAGGCAGCAAATCAATACCAAAGTCTATTTCTCGTACTGGAGGCAATCCTGGTAAATCCTCAGGAAATACATCAGAAAATTCTCTCACTACAGGTACATTTTCTATACTGGTTGTTTTCTTTCTTGTGTCATTTACAATAGCTAAGAGACCCAAGCAACCTTTCTTCAGAAGTCGTTGAGCCTTGATAAAAGATACAATTTTGCAAGTCTTTGGAACATGACTCCCTCTTAGAATAAAACTAGGTTCATTTGGTATCTCAAACTTAACTATCATTGCATGACAATCGACTATAGCATAGCAAGAAGATAACCAATCTATTCCCATCAGCATGTCAAAGTCAATCATATCAAGTACAATAAGGTCAGCTAGAGTATCTCTACCCTCAACCTGAATTTGACAATCACGATGCACGTATTCAGCTAATAGAGACTCTCCAACAGGAGTAGCAACTAGAAAAGGATCACTCAATAGCTCGGGTTGTCTACTAAATCTCAAAGCAAAGTACGAGGACATATAGGAGTGAGTAGATCCCGGATCAATCAACGCAAGTGTATCAAATGAACAGACGGAAAGAATACCTGTAACCACTGTATTCGAGGTCTGAGCATCCTGTCTAGTAAATGCAAAAACTCTCACCTGACCTCTACCAGCATTGCCTTGTCCTTGATTCAAAGTAGCACGGTCTCCAGCACCTCGACCTCTATTTCCTATACCTGTAGCACCTGAAGTATTACAAGTATTCTGAGTCGGTGCAACTGACTGAATAGAAGCCTAGTTGAAATTTCTTGGAGGCTGAGGGCAATCCCTCAAGTGTTGTCCCAACTGGCCACACCGAAAGCACTCTCTAGTTAGAACACGACATTGTCCCAAATGTGATCCACCACAAGTCTGGTAGACTGGAGTAGTGGCATATATCTGTCTAGAATTAAGATGTCCAGAAGATGATGGTCCTCTATTACCTTGTCTGTAATGTGGTATGTGTGTGGATTGTGAAGACATATGTGTACCTGTCCGAGAAACCTGTTGTTGTTGTTGTCCCTGATTTCCTGCTCTTCTATTTTCACTAAAACCACCACTGAAAGCCCCTCATGTCTTGGCCTTCTTACGTAAATCACTATTTGCACGCTCCTTACGTCCCTTGTTTTCAATATTTCTAGCAAGGTCGACTACATCAGAGTAGGATAAAGTCTTCATCTGTGGGGCTACTACAATGTATAGACGACCAACCAATCCATCAACAAACCTCTGAACTCGAGCTTCTTCGGTAGGCACTAAGTGAGGAGCATATATAGCTAGCTTACAGAACTTAGTGTTATATATTGACACATCCATATCTGGAGTCTGAACTAATCTCTCAAAGTCTCTAGCATATTTTTGCATCAGACTGTCTGGGAGAAAATGATTATTGAACAACTTAGTAAACTCGTCCCATGTCAGTGGTGGTGCTCCTGCTGGCCTTCCTAGCAATACCGTTTCATACCATGTGTTGGCCATATCCTCTAGTTTGACTACGAGCTCCACGACTCTCTCACTAGAACATCCAAGAGCACGTAATGCCTTAAGTGTCCCATACAAGAAACTTTGAGGATCTGCTAAATTATCGGAACTTGTGAATTTTGGTGATTTCAATTTCAGAAACTCTTGTAGGGAAACTTCCTTATTCCCGAAAGTCCGAGTCTGTGCAGGTGCTTGTGTCTGTAAAGTAGCTTGAGGAGCTGAACTTCCTCCCTGAGTAGGCACCAACGCCTCTAACATATTCAATAACCTTGCCACTACATTTGTAGGTAAGGCAACAGTAGGTACAACAGTTGGCACTGGTGGTGGAGCGTTCTGAACTCCCTGCAAGGCACTTGATCTGGCATAACAACTTGGGTTTGACCCATGTTCCCAACTTGAGGTTGAGGAGCAGTCTGTCTTCTAGTTTGATGAACCCCAACTTGACCACCACCCCGGGTAGCACCACGTCTAGCACCACGTCCAGCAGATGAGGGTGTGCATGTCCTAGCCATTGCGAAAGAAATATTCCAAAATCAATCTCAAGTTATCTCAACGTACGATCAAAGAATGAAAGAAGGAAAAACATTCCTAGATGTTCAGTAGCCTCAAGATCATAAGTATGGGTGCCTACATACCCATGAACAAGACTCTACTAAACATTGCTCCATGCCTCGGGACTTCAACCCTAAGCTTTGATACCAACTTTGTCATGACCCAATTTAGAATTGTGACCGGCGCTTAGGAGCAAGTGCTCTCAAGTAAGCCTTATGGGTAATTTTATAGAAAATCGGACAGAGTCTCCCCTATTTTTGGACCATCCCAAAACTTTTCCTGTCTCAAATCAACAACCAAACATCCTAATACCATACCAAACAATTGACAACTGGTCAATTAACCAATACAAGTCTCCACCATAACTAAACCACCAACTAACCACTAGAAATACTAATTTATCTCCAACATTTTATAAATGAGAATGATACTCAACATAAGACTATAATAACAAAAGAATACTCATGACACTAAAATAATGACTATGGAGCGACTCTAAGAGTTCAAAAAAAAAAGTATAACAATAAATAAAATCTCCGCCCACGCGAACAAGTGCGAGGATCACCAAGAACTATCAACTTATGCGCTCTAATTAACGAAATCCTCGCCCGCGTCAACTGCTGTTTCTGTAAAAAAATTAGCGGGGAATGAGTTGCTAGCTCAGTGAATAATAACACTTAACCACAACCGTATTTTGTGGGGATAAGTCAGAAAACATGCTAGTATATCAAACAGAAAACTACATAAAAATGCCCTTTCAGAAACAATAAATAATTTTCAGTCTCGTCATGCTTTTCTTGTAGTATAATGCAATTAACAGTTCGGTAATAAGCTCGGTAACCACTGTCTAATATCACTATTCACATTTGGAAGGTTTCAATGAACGGATTATGTAATCGGTATAACTGTGGACTTCTTCGCAAGAAGTCAAATACAACGGTAGTCCCTACTCAAGGGAAATTGGTAACGATATGCTAGTTCTACCTTCCCACTAGCGAGGGCTATAACGTTAATCTGTAATTACAAGGTGCACGAGGTCTAACGAACCCACCGTTAGCTACGGAATCCTTCAATGTCTACTCCCATTTATACTTGTCTCTGTAATCCGTATATACTCATAAAAAATATTTTAAAACAATATAGGGCATTTCGGTTCTTATCAAATCATATAATTTCTTTTAGATAACAGTAAATTCAAGTGACGGTAACAGATCTAGTGACAACAAAAATATTTAAAAAAATGGTAATCTTCTCAAATAGCTATTTCAGTATCATATCGAGTAAAAGACTTGTCCCACATGCAACTTAAAATAATCGATAACATATTCATATTAAAAATCATTTGTAAATCATGCAAGTTATGAAAACACAAATTGCGGTAAGATTACTACTCACAGTACTCGTGCCGAAATTCCAGATGCTTCACCTCGAGCAATTCGGTCAAATTCCTCCAATCAATCAATAATTACATAATATCAATCTCATGTTATTTTCTTTGTTTAGGATAATTCATAGCTAATTTAGAATACCCGACCTCGAGGTTTCATATTTGACTCTTAATTCGCCGAATTATATTTACCCACCTATGAGTAATTACTAATCTATCAACTCCAACATATTCATATATTTTATTAATCCAATTTCATAAAGTTCTATTGATTCTTTAGGAAGAAAATTCTCAAGTGTGAATGAACTAGTATAATTTCTATTTCTCTGTAGAATCTCCCAATCATGAGAATCGAAATTAAGATCTATCAGAAGGAGAAGCTCAAGCTATACCCGTAAGACACAATTCCTGCTTAAGATTCCTCAACAAATTTCCAAAGATTAACAAAAATTTATACTTATCTTTCCTTATTTCACTGACTTTTGCCAATCTCCTTATTTAACTCTAACCAGTAAAATATATTCTCAAATTTGTGGAATACAATACCTGAAGATTTGAACAAATAATGGATGGAAGTGGTTTTTTTTAGGTACCAAGCTTTTTCCCCAACTCACCTTCTGTATTTGTTTTTTTTATTTTCGCTTTAATGTTGACCCGTCAAAATCCTTTTTGCTTCCGCTTGGTTTTACGCAGCAGAATTTGATTCTATTGCCAGAGAAAGGGGGCTTCGGCCCTTTTTTCCTTTTCTGTTTTTGTTAGTTAGCGTAGGGCTTTGCCCTATTTAATCTTATTTATAATTTAATTTTTTTGGTAAATTACGTAATTACTCTCTTTCTTTTAATGAGTATTACATATGGGTTCCATGCTCGATATTTGAGGCCCAGTAGCACCAAACTATCCTTAATTATCATGTGTGTCAATTTCAAAAATTTTAGAATTTTGTTAGTTTAATAAATTAAATAATTAATTATTTAATTTGACAGAGTAAATATCTATGGGTTCTAGGCTCGATATTTGAGGCCCAGTGGCACCAAGCTATCTTGAATTCTTATGTTTGTCAATTTCAATATCTTTAGAATTTTGTTTGTGTTATAATAATTAATATTTAATTATTTAATTGGACTGAGTAAATATTTATGGGTTCCAGGCTCGATATTTGAGGCCCAGTAGCACCAAATTATCATGAATTCTTATGTGTGTCAATTTTAATATTTTTAAAATTTTGTTAGTTTTTATAAATTAAATAATTAATTTTTAATTGGACAGGGTATATAACTATGGTTCCACGCTCGATATTTAATTTGACAACATATATTAATTAGTTAGTTCTGTAAGTTTGTTTTATAAATTAAATAATTAATTTTTGTAAAGTGTAATTGGATAGAGTTGTAGTTAGTAGATACTTAAACTACAAAGACTCTACGCTAAAAGGCTCTATATTTTACTATGCTAAAAGGCTCTATATTTTACTACGCTATAAGGCTCTATATTTTACTACGCTAAAAGACTCTATATTTTTCTACGCTAAAAGGCTCTATATTTTACTACGCTAAAAGGCCACTATTCTTTAAGCAAATAAATAATCTAAACTAAATAAAAACAACAAACATATGAACATAACACTCACGAAATTACATATAAAACAGTAAAAGTAAAAGATATTTATGAACAATTTTATTAACAATAAAAATTATTTCTCAACTTTTAACTATTTTTTTAAACACTAATAATTTAATCCGGGTAAAAATAACATACAAATTTAATCGCAAACATAACACAAATCAACATGCAAACACATTCAAGAAAACAAATATGCATAATTATACGAGTTTTGACATAAATTAAATCAGAATACCTCGATTTATGTTTTTTGAAATGTCGGAAATTTGAAATTTTGAACCCGAAAGAAAGAATCCACAACAATCGAAANTATTAGTACCATAAAAATGCATAATAAAATAACAGCAATATAAGAGATATGAAATACATAATACAAAATACGAAATAGATGGCTGGTATAGTAAAACTAGCAGGTAAAGCCCTGCATCAATAGACGACCAATGACATTCTTAGTCTAACTCCTAACTGGCTAGTCTCACTCTATTGTGCTGTAGAAATATTCACAACTTTCCCCTAACCTACAACCTTAATGCTCGACCTCCATAATTCCCTGTCAAGGGCCATGTCCTCAGTAATCCTAAGTCGCGCCATGTCCTGTCTGATCACCTCTCCCCAATACTTCTTAGGTCACCCTCTACCTCTCCGCGTGCCCACTACAGCCAGTCGCTCACACCTCCTCACCGGTGCATCAGTGTTCCTCCTTTGAATGTGCCCGAACCATCTGAGTCTTACATCCTATTATAATTTAATAGGAAAACGTAGTATAATACTATGTTTTCCTAAAACGTAGTACTATACTACGTTTTTCTATAAAAAATAAACTATTAATTAAAACGTAGTATTATACTGTGTTTTACATTAACGAGTAACTTTCCGTTAAACTAAAATGCAATATAATACTGCGATTTAATTAGAAATATAACTTTTTTTTAACTGTATAAAGGCATTTTGAATCTAAAATACCATTATTTAGGTTTCAGGCTCAGAAACAGATCACATGCAATGGCATGCATTAATATCTTTGTCCTGCAAAGCGTAAATGTGCTCCAAAATTAGAAAGCAAGGGTCGCATAGTCAAAAGCATTTTTAGTAACCAAGTTAAAGATAATTTGTCATACAATTCATTTATAAGCAGTTCAAATATTAAGTATGTGGGGGACCGATTTATTTAATTGGCTGTGGAATTTGAAAATAGGCATATCACATGCCGACACTAACCTAATATGGGATACTATTTAATAAAAGCTGGTTACTAAGTTTAGTTATATTACAAAGATTTACTGGTTGATATTATGATCACAGTGCTTATAAAAATGCTCTATTCTTACGCTTCAAAAGCATCCTCTGGTCAATACTCTTTTCTTTCTTCTTCTTTACAACTTTTCAAGCTTTTGTTCAACTTCTGCCGGAGAGAGAGAGAGAAATTTCCCTACACTTATTTTATCTGCTTCTTCAAGTGATGGATTTTTACTCAGTTGTCATGGCTGATGTGTTTTCTAGTACGTATTTTAATTGACTTGTATATATAAAACGTAAATTATTATTAAAAGAATGCTCCAAATGAACTCCGACAGCATTCTCTGTTGTATGTAGTTTTAAAATATTTTATTACTAACGTTTGGTTAATTATATCTCGTTTAGTTTCTCTACTGTGTCTTTGGACGACAATTGAAGCGGACCTCATTGTTAAAACAACGTTCCTCGATAGTGCCGTAGCTAAAGGCGCAGGTGATTTATTTACGATATTCATTTCTCACTTTTTTAGGCAGTCTTACAATTTTATTACTATTTTTTACTAATAATTTTTTGTTGATTTTGTCATGATAGTATGCTTGGATGGAGGTGCTCCTGCATTCCACTTTCATCCAGGAACTGACTCTGGAGTTTATAACTGGCTCATTCACCTTCAGGTTAACTAATTAAACTCAGAACTTTATGATATTTTACTTTAAATTTTGGCTAATCTTCAACTTTGAATTTCCAGGGTGGAGGGTGGTGTGAAACCACTTCCGATTGCCAAAATCGCGCGGCTACGGACTTATCTTCAAAAAATATGCCAACTGAAGCTCATTTTACTGGAGTTCTAAGCAGTGATCCTCAACTAAATCCAGGTGGTTAATACATTATTTATATGTATTTACAGCATTTTTAGTTTTTGAAGGTGTGCATGTTTGTGGCACTAATACTAAGTAATGAAAAGATATTCTCAACAATGTTTTTCAGACTTCTACAACTCGAACCTAGTCAAGATTAGATATTGTGACGGAGGTCATATACTGGTGATATTGAAGAAGTTGACCCCGTAAGTTAGAATCTTCTCATTAGTTGGTTTTAATTTGAAGTGTAAAATGTTACTCTCTAACTAGAAATGCCAAAAAATTTCAGGTTACAAACCTCCACTACAGAGGGGCAAGAATTTTTTACGCAATCATGGAGGAATTGTTATACGGTAAAGGAATGATATTTCCTCAAAATGTATGTCTCATTTCCCCGTTATTGTCCTCTTATTTCTCTCCAATTAATTAAGTGACTGAAATACAAAAAATGTTCCAAAATTTCTATGACAGGCCATTCTTAGTAGGGTTGGGTGCAATCCTACATTGTGACAAATTCAGACTTTTTTTCCCATTAACTGCTAGAGTTAAATGCATCTCTGATGTTGGCTTTTTTGTCAATGTGTAAGTTTACGCTATTACTTTCCCTTCAAATTCTAAACGATATTGTGCCTTTTGATTCTTTAAAATTAGATAAACAACAGTTTGATTCCCAAGGAGGCCGATCCTTATAATAAGTGGATAAATTGCAAGACAAATATAAATTATTGCTCACCTGCTCAACTTCAAACTCTCCAAGGTGTATATATATATATATATTAGCCAGTTTATTTTCTTTTAATCCGATCATATGATAATTCCTCTCTCACACACTTGTGTTTGAGTTGTTGTTCATCAGATTTTAGGTTGAAATTTTTGGAGGCATTGAACGAACTAGGACCAAATACATCAAGAGGATATTTCATTTCCTCTTGCCATTCCCATCTTGGCATTGAAATACTAAGTCACTGGTCCTCCAATAACTCTCCAACTTTAGCTAACAAGGTAACTTTGCTTTCTTTCCTTTTTTTCTTCTTTTTATATTGTATAATTTTCAGCTTTCCTTATGTTGTTATTTGAAAATAAACTCATACGCAGACAATTGCTGAAGCTGTTGGAGACTGGTTTTTTGATAGGAGTGGGTTTCAAGGGGTTTATTGCCCCTATCCTTGTGGCAAAAATTGCCATTAGAGGTGCTCATACATGTAGTACTACGTACTATTTTTGTATTTTAAATGTTTTATTTTTCTTTTAACAAGGGAAAGGCTGCATAAGACTTTAAGACGAACTCTCTTTTATTTTTTTTATGTCAAGGAACGAAATCGATGGAACTCTAACTTATATGATTAGAAAATAAGATTTGATTAGAACAATTAGTTTAGTAAAATAATTCAGACTAAGGAGATACATTTGATGGCCTATATTGTACTAGAAAACTTCAGATAATATTTGGTAAATTCATTCAATGTAAGTTTAATTACTGCATGCTTGCACTCGATGAATGTACCCATATATCACTTTCATAATTGACAATAAAACATGCATAACGTTTTTGAAACTCCTAAAAGAGTAAATAAATTTGAACCAAACGTTACAATGTCAAAGACTATTTACGAACCATCTATTATTTGAAAAAAAGAATAACAAGTAAACCTCTCTTGTGTCTCACACAAATTTGATAAAGCATTACCAATCAGAATAAAACTATTTTACAGACATAGTTTGGCTATCAAAATTGCGTAAGCAAACTTATTTTAATTTATTTGTCTTTCGAAATTATTTGTGTACTTCTTGCTATATGTATTTGGGCATTTAACACTTTAAAAGGATGCGTTCTTGTTATAAGGTGCCGTTTAGTTTTAGGAAAGAAGCTTAGCAAGAATTTATTGGCACTCACATAAGTATTATTTTGCAGGAAATATAAATCAAATAAACATGTATCGTAAGCAAATTATGACATTGTTGCAAATTTGCATTTTTGTCTTGGTTTAATTTCCTGGGACATTGGTAACTTGTAGAACTCGTGAAGAAATAGAGTACCTTTGCTATCTGGATTGTGTGGAAGCCTATACAAAATTAATAGTTGGGACCTATTTAAGGATCTTACTGGAGAACAAATTATTGAAAAGTGCAAAAGGGGTGAAAGATATTAGCCATGTGAACTTGATGGAGAAATTGTTATGTAGTCCATAATAATTGTTATTATGTTATATGATTCTTTTTATAGGAGATCAATAAAAAATAACACAAAAGAGCTATAAATAAAACACGAGAGGTCTTTATAAAGTTATTTCTATTCAAATTGTAAGTGCGCAAAAAACAATATTTCCTCTCATATTGACATCATTGATCATATCCAAAATTAATTATTGACTTCTCCGTAATCGAACCTAGCATCGACCCCTGTTGATAACCTATCCTATATAAAAGGCAATATTTCCTCTCATATTGACATCACTGATCATATCCAAAATTAATTACTGATTTCTCCGTAATTGAATCTGTCATCGACTCTGTTGATAACCTATCCTCTATATATATAAAACCGGTCCAACCTCTCTTATTAGGTTAAAAACTTAAAATTATTGGTTGGTATTCCTCGTTTAAAACTTAAAAGTATAGTGATGGAAATACTAATTTGTTCATTGTACGAGGGATAAAGTGAAATAAACAAAATGGAAGGAAATATTACATAAGGACAAGATGAATTAGAGGGAAAAAAGGATAACGTTTGAGAAAGAAATCCATCAAACTTCTTCCTTATTAGGGTGCAAAATGCAAAGAATTCCTACTTGCAAAATGCAAAGAATTCCTACTTAATAATTCTTTTTTATTTCATCCATATACCCGCAGTAAATGTTTCTACTCAATTATATCATTTAAATCCCATCAAACAATTCTTTATAACTAATATTGTCATAAAGTTGTGAGATAATTTGGTATAAGGTGTATATGTGTTTGTAACGTTTAGCATCCAAAATTATGTCTAAACTAGGCAGGAGAACTTGGCTAATTTTCCTACTCGGATAGCATCTCTGAACGGTAGGTAACCGTTGGTTCCGATATGACAAAGTCAGTCACCTTGCAGTTAACCATCTTTGTTCCATCTTTTCTTCTTCTGAGTGTCTTATCGTCGATGGACAACAGGCGAATATTCCTGCATTGCCCCTTGTTGGTCCCGAGGGACGGAAGAGGCTAGGTTAGCCGGTAGAGTTCTTTGCTCATAATGCTTGGCATTACTATAGCCGCATCAGTCTTCCTTCCTAAGAAACAAGAGAGAGAAGCAGCTCAATTTCAAAGGTTAGGGGCGATAGCCACTCATGCAGAACGAGGAAGAGGGGAGTTGGCACAATATGTAATCCATAGGGTATAGAAGCGGGAAGTTCCCATTCAAAAGGATTCTATCTAGTCTGGCCCAGATACAATTGATATTTTATACTTTAATACCATACAAGAGGGGGGTGATTTGTGTGGTATCCAATTTTTTGCTTAAACTGATTATGGAACAACCTAGTTCTTCTAAGTGTTCCTTAACCTACTATTACAAAAATAATAAATGCAGAAAGTAAAGAACACAAGTATTTTACGTGTAAAACACATGGCTCAAAAAGTGAAAAAATCACGACCCACTTCCTAGTAGGATTTTTCCAAACTCTTCACTAAATCACTGAGCCAAAAACATCATTTACAAAACACTTTTGTAAACTTAGGACTAACTCTAATCCCGTTGTAGTAAACAGCCTCTAACTATTGCGTCAACCCCAAGTTAACTCTAACTTGAAAACTCTGAGTACCTATTACAATTGCTTCTAGATAAAGCTGAAAGGTATAATATGAAAATACCTACTACAATTTAACTAGAATAAAAGACAGACAATTGGAACTGGTTCTTCTATTTGGTTCACATAGCTTTCGGTTTGCACACTTGAATCACACACGAACTGCTTACAAAAAGCCTTGCTATTTGCTCTCAATTCACGTTTAACTTCTGCCTTTGTGCGTCACCTGCAACTGAGAACATCCTATAATATATAGAGTTTGTAGATAAAGAAATAACTGGAGTTCTAATGCTACTCTCCATTGGTGGAAGAGTTCTAGTTGATCTCAAGTTCTAACTCCTTCCCTATCTTGGATAATGTTCTCTTTGAGTAAGGAGTCATTCTCCTTATCAATTATGCAACCTTTTCGATCAGGTACTAAATATACCAATTTAAGCTTATCTCTTTCACGTGCATCCCACATGCTCGAATCTACCCGTTTCTATACACCACAAGGGATGGACCTGGTTCATGCCTGAACTTCCTTTATCAATCTTCAAAACTAACCTTCACTTGGGCCAACAAATTTCCCCTTTTTGATGATAACAAAATCTGTGCTTTTCATAAGCTTAGGCCCTGTTTCAACTTAGCTCAACATCAACACAATGTTAGAAACATTTTTTCTTTTTATCACTTATCATTAAGGACCAGGTTTACTAGGTTATAAACATCACTGTTTAATGCTAAACATCACTTGTTTAAAGCAAAACCTTTTCCCCTCTTTTGAAATCATCGAAAAGTTGCGTACACAATGTGTAATACCCAGATTTTAAAACTTACTCATGGCCACTGAGGCTATCCCAATGCAATCATGTATTAATCATCATTGATCGAGCTAAGAATTTCAACCATCAAAGAAATATAAACAAACAGTTAGAGCAAAAACTAGTAGATTTCATTATTCATTGATAGGTGATATGATTCTTCCACAAAGCATAAAAGGAAATAAAAATATTGAAAACATGAGCAAACAGTAAAACATCCCAAACTGGGTCGCTGAAGGAGCTATACTAGGCTAGGAAGTTAAGGCTTGGAAGAACTAGGTGCTGGGTTATTGGCTTAGAGAAGTTTCAGCATGTCTTGAAGAATTCCATCATTCTTCTCCTTTTCTCTTGAAAGTTCAGTTCTGAGAGCATCTCCCTCAGATTCTACCTTAGCTAACCTTGTCTTTAGCATTGCTATCTCACCCTCTTTTGCCTCACTTTCCTACACCAAGGATCTGACCTTGCTATTGACTGGTGCCTTCTTGGATGAACAAGATTCATTAGGAGTGGCAAGAACCTCATAGTCACAAACACTTAGAGTTTTCGCCCCAAAGTGATCTTTTTTTGTAGCTACCTCTCACTTCTCCAAAAGCACCTTAAAATGTGCAAGCACATCTGTGAGAATGAAGCCATAGGGAATGGCATGAGACAGTGCCATTGATAACCCTATCAAGAAGCTGAATTATAAACCCAGGCCAATTTATTTGCCTCCCACTATCTAAACACTCCATGAGAGCCAAATCCATAAAGTTTACAATTTGCCTCCTTTCCTGCCTTGGCATAACGCATTTGATGACAAATTCAAACAACACTTTGTGGGATGACTTCATCTCACTCTTGTACACAGCCTTGGGCTCCAATTCCTCCTCATTGTTACTGAACTTTCTAGTAATGGCAAGGGCAGTAGGAAGGTTTTCTAGGATTGGCCACTTAAGCTTTGTGTAGTCATTGTACCCCTCAGCAGGTACACCTAGAGTTTCACCCAACTCATTCATATCAAAAGAGATTTGCACCCCTTTCACCAAGCTATAACCCTTTCATCTTGTACTGCCGCATTTGCCATAAACTCCACTATTTCATCCCTAGCCAACCTGCCATCCATCTGAAGGACCATGTCCTTCCAGCCCTGCACTTCTAATTTATTCAACAGCAGCACCATTCTTTCCTCCTCCAAATCCTTGAGGAGTCTACCCTTCAGAATAGTTCTTTTGCCAAACTTGGCCATCTTTTCCTTTTCATTATTTGATTCATCTTCCTCTTCTCCACTGCATTCCTCTTCTTCAGCAATTTTTACTTGTTTGGGTTTCACTGCAGACCTGGCCCTTTTTGACCGGGTAGATGGTTCAGCAGACTTTGACGTAGGAGTAGACTTCTTGGTGGAAGTCTTGGCTTTCTTAGGCTTGAGAGTCTGAACCTCCACTTCAGCATTTTAATCTTCATCTTAATGGACCAAGTTTATCTCATCCACATCAACAGTCTCAACAGGCTCTCCCACTTTCTTTTTCCCTTTGTCCATCCGTTTCTTTTTGGTTTCTTCTAATGCTTTCTGCATCACTTCCTCATTCTACTTCAGTTGACTTCTTGTGGCTCTTCCTCTTGTGGGAGGAATCTCAATAGTGTCAGAGGGAGCAACCTTTCTTTTCTTGTTAGCCCTAGTAGTTCCAGGGGTCTTAGCAATGGAAGTTCTCTTCTTCTTGGGATTGTAGCTGTCACCTACTTTTTTCAATAGGTCTGTGAGGTTTTCTTCAACTGATGAACCATGTTCATCTGCCTTTTTCCCAAGGTTAACTAGCCCTTCAGCGGCTTCGCCAAAACCACTTCCCCTATTTTCTTGACACTTTCCTCTACTTTATCTGATTCTGCTCCACAAATAGCCATTTTACCTTTATCAGAAGTAGGTGAAGAATCAACCACTCTTCTCCCCATTCCCCTTTCTTCACTTCGAGCACTCTCACTCTCTTTTTCTTTTTCCTTTTTATTTTTACCGCCTCTTTTTCTCGACTCCGGAGTTTCTACATCCACCACATATCCAACCAAAGTAAACCTATTTTCTAGATTTTCATCTCACACAGAAATAACCTCATTAGTAGTTTTTATTCTAGAATTTACCTGTTCATTTTTAGAAGACCTAGTTTATTCCCCCCTCAGTAGTAGACTTGAAGGAGTCGTCAGAGTTCTAGGGTTCTTGGGCTTGGCTAGCTTTTAATTATGCGTTTAATTTCTTTGATAGTTCTTTCCCAGAAGCTTCCTTGCGAGCAAGCATCTTAACTCTTCTTTTATTAGGGTAAGGAGTGGTTGAAGATGAGGAGTTTGGTGGGAGAGTACCAGGGTTATCAAAGTGGTTAGTCATTTTGTGCTTGGTTCTTGGAAGAAAGAAAAAAGGTAGATTGAATTTTGGAAGTTGAGAGACGATTGAGAGAAATTTCGACGGTTTTGAGAATTAAAAAGAGAAGGCAGAAATGATGATGATCAATTTAAAAGGAGTGGATAATTAATGGGTAACAATAGGCTTCATCAATTTTTTAGAAGTCTAATCGAACCGAAATTTCAGTTTGAATAGACGGTGGACTCTTTCCTAGGATCTAGGTGATTTAATTTGGCTAGGACTCTTTTGAACGGAACTGGTTCAAATTTATTGGATAGGTTAAAGAGATATTTGAACTTAGGTAGGACTGTTCTC